ACCTCAGCAGCAGCAGCTTCAGGTTGAAAAGTCTCAGCGGCAGTTACTTTAACTGCTATCAGTAAAGTTAAACATCCAAGTGGATTGGGAACCGAAACCCAGTTTGACATCACAGAAAATTGTAACTGAATGCCGCAAGCTGCTGACTTTGAATCATGACCCAGAAACGATTGAAGCTTCAGAGCCCATAAAAGAACTCTAGTTCTATCCTTCAGCCATTTGTGGCGAAAACGTGAATCGAGATGTGCCGGACCGAAAGCTCCCAACTGTAACTTAGAACGGTGGTGAGAAACATTGCGGGAGAGTTCGGGTCTGCAAATATCTCCTTTGTCGAGCTGCACGTAACTTCAGCCGCGTGCGTACTCCAAGGGTGAAGGCATGCTTCAAACTGAAATAGACTCGTTTTCCCAATGCATCAAGATTTTCAGGGAAGAGAAGACACTTGACAGTGGAACGCGATTCTGTTCCGGTGTTACTACAGCTACAAACAGTGTCTTTTATCACAGTCGTTTCTGGATTAACAAGGACAAAACTTGACAAGTCGTCGGTCAGATCAACAAAACTCATTGCCCAAAATACACCAGGGGTACGGTTACAGTCAGACAGAGTAATCGCCTGTGAATAAAAGCTCAAGGAACTGCAACTCCTGGAAACCATTTATCTAGCCAGAGGTGTATGGGCGTTCATCTGTGCCAAGTGGAAGGAATACAGAAGCTGTATTTGCCCAGTGAGTCACGGGATCAAGTCATGTGTTGCACTAATGGAAATACATGTCCCGAATACTGTGCCGACGGTTTGCTTGAACGAATGATATTTGCACACTTGGCCTGAACCCGAACCACCTTGGTCGTGGATGCATGTGGACCCAGGTGGATCCTTCCGTCCGAAGAGCTACACTCTCCCCAGGTAAACTCATTTCTTTAAGAACTGGGAGTTTGAAAAGTGGACATATATTTTTCGTTACAATTCAAGGTTACCTGCTTGTGTTTCGCTACCGTTGGTTTCTTGACATTTGTTTAAACGCATCAATTCTTTGATTTGATTGGCCGGCCCACGTCGTTCGAAATGGATGTCATCTCAGGGGTCTCTTTCCGCTAATGCCATTTTCTCGAACTCGCCTGATTGGTTCTTACGTTTATCACGTCTTGTTCGCCTCCATTATTTCAGTGTCCTATGTTGATGCCTGGCTCCAAATTGTTTTAGTAGCCTGGCTTCAACTACTGCTGTGCCCTATTTAAATGAGCTGACTACTCGTGTAGAACTCGGTCCTGACTCATCATCGTGTCATTCCTGCGGTCGTGGATACGTGAACTGTCGGCTGGCGACATTACACAAACTCAGTGCTGTTGGTCCGCTTTGCCTTCCAGGCTGGAATCCACATGATCTACCCTGTGTTTGGCTCGAGAGGTTACAGGATATGGCTTGCAGTCGGCATCGGTGACGTGTTTACTGTCGTCTCCTTGTCTATCTGAATTTGAAGTGACAAATAATAGAATGTTTTAAAACCAATAGAAATGGGGGTGAGACCACAACTCCTGATGTTTTGGATTCGCACTTGCCTCCTTTACCCATCATAAGTACGGTAGATTTTCACTGAGTGATACGTGGTAAAAATTATAATTCTCAGTATTTTTGTTACTTGATTGGTCCAGAAGTTATCGGCCCGACATTACTTTAATGCACTTATTCCAACGGCGTTTAAGGATTACGGTCCCCATACGGAAGATCGAATACTGTTCCTGTAAAAGTAGTTCCGCAGAACCAATTAGCTCATCATTCTGAATAAGACAATGAGAAGACTGGTATTGTGATATAGAACCATTTCATTTTATCTGCTCACCCGCAAACTAACAACATAGATATGGATCACGTGACATAAAAATCGAAGGTTTGAACTTAGTCACAGAGGGAAATTACATGGACGCAAGAATAGTAGATCGACAAGCTTGATCTTAGGGTCATGAGCCCCAAGAAAGCTTTGGAGAGACTGTTAATTGTTCCTGTACACAAAGGAAGGGGCAATGCCGGTTAAGTGCCACAGTTTCGGCGACCCTCAGAACTTTAGGGTTTTCATTTCGACCCTGGGTCAACGTAATGGCCTGTTTCGATTAGATGTCTGGCGATAGATAATGCCGGCAGCTTGGATACCTTTTCTTGTTCGGCTCCTTGTTGTGTCGATAGCTTAGCAAGCCATTTTGGGATATGCTGTCCAATGCGCTTACCCAATGGTCGATCTGTTCTACCAATTTAACTACTTCCGCAGTTACAAACGAATTGGTAAATAAAATGGATTGTGGCCAAGATCGGTTGAGTAGGTCTCACTGGAGGCATAAGCAACTTCTTAGTTTTCCAAATGGGGCAGAATTTGACGTCATTGAATGTCCGACGAATCGCTGTATGCAAACGTCTTTCAAGTTGGGCAGCCACGATATCACATTTGTAAGGTAATTGAAGGTAGACAGACAGTTTGGGCACATTAAGTACTCTATGCCTGTTTTCCTTCATTTGACTGTGAAATCGAATAAACGCCCCTGAATATCCGTTGGCCCGTAGCGACTGTGTGATGAACAACAATTCCGATTCCAAACAGTCGTCAGTGCATATTCTGCGGGCTCGATTAAACAGTGTCTTGACTAAGCACCGCTTGTATTGGATAGGGGCGAAGCTGTTGAAGTGTTCATACAGTCCTGTCCAGGTAGCTTTTCTGTGAACAGAACGGTTTGTGCAGCTGTCTTCTCGTCTGGCCAACAACACATCCAAAAACGGAAGGCAATTGTTATCCTCCAGTTTACATGTGAAATGGGCGTTTGGATGTGCATTATCGAGCACCTTGAGAAGAGATAGAACAGCGTCTCCACTTGGGGCGATCACTAATGTGTCATCTACGTATCGCCTGTATAAACACATTTGGTTGGTGTGCGGCTCACATCTCATTTCAACCATCGTCATGAAGATGTCAGCCAATACCGAGCCAAGCGGACTTCCATGGCTACACCATCCACCTGTCAGTACGGCTTGTCTTCACATAAGAAATGCACATTTTCCGTGCATAGTAGCAGCAAATCCCTAGCATATTCCACGGGAATCGATAACATCATTATTATCCAATTTTTGAATCCGGAGATGAGATTTCATTTTATGGAACAGATACAAGTCCGATAGTACCAGATCTAGTGAATAAGCGGCGTATGGCAGCAGTCCAAAGCCACAAATGACTGCTTCTGTCACGGCCACTTTGGAAGTGTGAACAGATGCGTTAACATGCAACGAAAGGACTGATGCCAGCCTTCTCCATATTTTTTTGGTTATTTGTTTCACTTGGTATAAATATGAAGCGTGATACTCGCCTGTATTGCTTTGACCTCTCAAGAAGTCTATAATCTTCACTGTCCCAGAAGACAAAGGCCATCACTTTTCCAACAGACGTCATTTAACGTAACCTTGTTGTCGAGGAGAGCTACTGTCCTTCCATTGTTTACTTTGAATTTTCGACTTTGCTGGAAAACAATGAGCTCAAGTCTCATACTTGGTAACAAAACAAAACATTTGCAGCGTTTGTCTTATAACTGATTAAAAGTCCCCTCGACATTTCCAGCCTGTTCAGTTTCTGTTCCGGTATTATCATTCTTACCACCCATGTTGCAGTCAGCTCTTTCACGCCATAATTGATACCCTTAGTCATAGTTATCTGACAAATGAACAATCTCATGAGTAGCAAATTATGTAGCCCAGCCGACCTCCCCCATGGCTCAGTGGCTTAAGCTGCTGGCTAGTTGGCATCTACCTCTAGCGGTCATGGGTTCGATCCTCATTAGAGGACCGAGGGAATGCGCGCCACTGACGAGCCCCAATAGGGCGAAACGCGTCTGGCGCTTTTCCGGACTAGGCTCTGCTATGTAGCTTGTGAACTGTTGGGATGAAAGCCTTATCAAATGAACAATCTGCCTTTCAATATCATTCGTTGAACGACTTTCGCATATCGAAGATTCTAGGCTGCCGCACCGCGGGTTATCTTCAATGCTCTCCTTGTCTGTCTTGGTATTCGTAACCCACTTCATAATAGTGGAATAGGAAGGGGAGTCCTCACCAAGTGTCAGCCAGATCAGAATAGACTTCCTTTGGTGTCATTCCCTTTTATTCTGCACGTACTTGATCACACATCGACTTTCAGATTTGTACACTTTTAGAAATTGAGCACCTTAAGTCAATTCATTGGGTCACCTGCAAACGAATAAGTATCGAAGCTTAAGCTCTAGCAACAGTACTCCCAAGATATTCATTCTACACGTTAGCTGCAGATGGAAAACACCTCAGCTATTGTGCCGCAATACAAAAGACAAGAAAAGAAAAACAAACAGTGGCACGCCGGCTGAGTCCCCAGTAACGGATGGACATCGTTCCGGAGAGCTAACAGCTGGCTATCGTGCCGTAAAAAAGAGTTATATTGTACCTAACGAGTGAGATCGTGATTGGAGTGGGATACTAAGCAGGAGGGGGATGGACAAAGGAACTCACACCACAAACGCCATTGGGGCCGGCTTCAAGCCATATCAGCAAAAGTGTGTCCAACCAAACGTGTTCACCGTCCTTAGAACCCCAGCCAAGCAGTCGGGATGCACCAACCGACGCCAACTTCGAAGTGAGGGATCTCATCTCTCTCGACCAGGTCATCGCTTGACCTCCCCTCCTCTTCCAACCGCACCCACAACGCGCAAACAATGCACGTCGCGGAAGTCGGTGTGCTGGCATGCGCAACACTCAAAATTCAACTTTGAAATTAATACTACTTTTTATTCCGTTCACTTAACTCTTGTTCGGGCTGAGAACCCTTTGATCTAAGTTTTTACCTAACTCGTGGTTCACCTGGAACGGATTCGCGCGAATTGGGATGTTCATCGAGGCTGGGGTTGTCTGTGTTTTTGACCGATGTGATTGCTTCGTATGCACTTCAGTCACTGCTTATTCTCCCCTCCATTTTCACATCCTCGCTTCTTTGCTAGCCCTTCTATCGACCCGTCTCGTCGTCTAGTCCAATGTTCGCCATTGATTGTGAAATGGTGGTGACGAAATCTGGAAATGAATTGGCCCGTGTCACATTGGTGGATGAGACGAATTTTGTCATCTTCGATCGCCTGGTGAAACCGGAGAATCCGGTGGAAGATTACGTAACCAAGTAGGTGATATGTAAAGTCTCTACTTCGGTTTGCCTGTATTTCACAGTACCCCAGCGTATCCCGTCGAGTGTGTTTCACAAACCGTTGAAAGTTGCTTGGCATGTTCACACTGCGTGGAGTCTTCATGTAAACTAATCTTATCTTGTCGGCCACTGTCTGGTCCATGTGTCGGTGTGTATGTGCGTTTGTGCGGTAGGATTTTTCTTATCCTTTTCTCTGATTTAGCAGTTGAGCTGCGACGATTCAACGCGGTGCTTATCTTCAGATTGCATTGACACGAAATGAGCTTTGAGTACACTCAGCCTAAGATATGGACGAACCATCGGTCTGCCTACCCAGTATGAGCTCTCGTCTAGTTAATTGGCGTTTCAGGCCGCTTGCTCTCTTACCTACTTTCCCCCGCTTTCCACTCGACACCACTGACGTGATGGTGACACGGATGGTGTGATACCCGTCATGTTCACTGAGCGGTTACCCCTGTACTACCACCCTCTTTTGTTTGTTCACCATTTGTAGTAAGATCTAGAGGGTGACTTTGACGGGTCAAAGTCGTTACGTATGCTTTCTGTGCCCGTAACCTATGAAGCGGCCACAATAGATCGCTGTACCAGTTGCTCACGCATCTCAGTGGCATATTGATCAAGGCTTCAGCCAATAACCTTTGGGCGCCGATTTCTACTCCCAACGGAGGCTATATCCACCAGATGAGGACAAAGTTGATCGTGGCGTTTCCGTGTAGGGAGAGAGCAGCGCCGAAACCCATTCAGCTTTCAATTAATTACACCTTATATGTTAGCCCACTAAGGCACGCTACTTACCAATCTAGCGTCTCCGTGCGTGCTCCAGGGCTTCAACTTTAGCCCTGTCATGCAGCATGCTTAGACAATCATTGATGAGACCCACCCTTTAGAGAATAGGTTTCGAGGTCACAAAATGGAGAGATCATGACACCGTTTGCATAACTAACTGCTGAAATTGCGTTAAACTCATCATAGTACCCATGATGCCACATGTTAAGAGAGGCTATGTGGCAGTTCGCTTGGAATCCATAATGGTCTATCGCCATAACCCATGGTCTAGTGGCTTATGCAGCTGTTGTCGGGATTGCATGGGTTCGGGTAATGTTAGATCCGAGTCATGAACACTATTGGCTGGCCTCAGTTAAACATCACAACCGTCCCATGCTTCTCTGGATGTCTGGCGATCTGTGGGACTTGAAGTCACTTCGAAGAACCCTCATTAACTTGTATATTTCGCAACTAATACGGCGACTTGTGTTTCCTTAATACAATCGCAGCTTCATCGAAATGCTTCGATGACTCAGAGACCTGCGCACTAAGTGCGAGATCATAATTTAATCTCCTTCTCACTTTGCATTCCATAACCTCGTGAGGACAAGCACACTGCTTGGGGGGTGGCGCATTGACCCTGTCAACGGTGTATTTGGCGCTCCGAGCCTGATTCGCAGCGTAACAACGTACGACTGCCAGCAAAATCAGTTTTGCAACAGGACATTGCTGCAATGGCGTCGCCATAGGGGGCGACTATCGACCTTGGTACTTCTATCGACCTCTTCGACAAATCTAAAATGTTGCGGAATTTCGGGCTCCAGACTTTACGAAATTTCTTGTCACACCCGCGTCTTCTCTGACTAATGCTGTCTGACTGAACACTCTGATTGTGCCCTCTGTGTGTGTGATTCGGTTTTACTCAGGTCCAGCAAAGGGTTCAGCAACAGTGCTCCAGGACGTAATGCTTTTTCATCTGGAAAGCATCCTCCTGTTAAGAAACCACACGTCTGTTTAACAGCACTGCGACGTCGCAGGTGTTACTCACCGCCAACTACATTCACCGCCTTTGGTTCACACCGTTGGGCCAATGTACTTCAGTGGTCTCATGATGAAGCATTGAGATCCTGCTTGGTAGCACACTAAACCAAAGCTTTATGAAGACAAGGACATCAGCAGTACCACGGTACTTCATACCTACGATTCGCTGCCACTGACTAATCAGTTTCCGGCTCCCAATGGGCGCGACTCCTAACTTCGTTCCGTTGCCTTAGGTGTGTCCTACTTAGCCAAATACTCAGGGTGCTGTCTCTTAAGTCGGTTGCCTACATTGGTTTCGGCAATTTGATAGTATCTCACCCTCTGACGATATCATGGACCTTATGTATATCACAGAGAAGCTGCGTCAGCAGTACACCAATACTTCATAACGACGCTTTGCTACCACGCGTCTGCCACCAGTCACGCGAGGGCTGAGTATACCGTGAGTTCACTCGCACCGACGCGGATTCGAACCGGGAACCCGATTACAAGGCCACTCGTTCTAACTACTGACTCATCGATCTCTACAATTTTCGGAATCATGGCCTCATTGTGGCGATTCCTTACATTCCTCAGTTTCAACACAATGCTCCGCCTCTTATTGTCGATCTATTTCTCGTGTGCGCACAGGTAACTATAATCTAGACAGTTTCCATCCTCATCCGTACCACATAATCACTACAGACTTTCTGGGGAATAGATTTTAACCGTTACTCAAAAATTTGGCCTGCGTCTATGTGAATTTAGTGGGTCACACGTTAAGCAAACCTCTTCCATCCTACACAGATTCAGCGGCATCACCCGAGACATGCTGGCCCCAGTGACCACCCGTGTGGCGGATATTCAAAAGGAGCTCGACGAACTTCTCCCTCCCGATGCTATTCTAGTGGGTCACTCTATTTCAAACGACTTGCATGCGTTGAAGGTAAGCGAATCGCCGTCTTTATTGTTGTGTGTATGTGTGTGCTGAATGACACTCGTTTTTTCTCTTCGTATCGCGTGTCCACATGATATTCTGGCAAGGTTTGCATGTACTGGTATCCTCACGACTTGCCCACGGCAACGAAGCATCATGATAAAACACTCGCACCGCACAAAATTCCCGGGCTTGGACAACACCATACCGCCCTACTACTTACGTTGCAGCAATTGCTAATACCTTTAACCAGAATGTTTCAACTCGTTATTTAATTATTCACCACTTTGTCCGTCCTTCCTTTTATACCTTTGTACTTTTCTGATTTGTCCATTCACAACCCATTCTACTGTTTGAATGGGTCAAGACCCCCTGACCGTCCCTGCTACTGTCTAACCTATTATACTGATGACTGGGAGTCATTTTGTAAAGGATTATTCAGTTACATCTCTCAGGTTTATTGATTAAACCCTAAAACATATTGTGCAGTGCGAGTTATTTACAGTGTCGGTGAGATCACCGGCTGCGTTATCATTCAGATTACACTTCAATAGTTGGAAATACCCCATGGACACAGCGCCTACCCGTTTCAAGCCTATCATTGTTTTTTGTGTGCAATTCGCTGACTCGATCTCAGCATCGTCAAGTATTTCGAATGTTGGTACTGATCCTCATTTGTAGGCAACATTTGAACTGATGATGTGGCGGCGTTGATTGGTATGGTCGAAGCAGTGGATGTTGCTATTGAAGCCACATAATTTGGTGGTAAAGTTTCATTGCCAACCTATCAAACATCCAGGGAATCCCTCCATTTCCCCAATGCAGCGTCAAGTAATAGGCCGCACAAGAAAACCGGAAGACGGAATTTGTGGGCGGTGGTCCAGCTGTTGTGTGCAGACCCATCGCTCTCAATCAGTATCGATGGTTTCTATACCCTTGTGAGTATGAAGCTTTTAATTGCGCGTTATACTCGTGATTAACTCATAGCGTTTGACCTAGGACCCAGTGTCAACAAGTGTTCTGTCTATACTGGAGCAGTTCGGCATCCAAAATCACCTGCTTTTGTCGTTAACGATCCCATCTGTCTACCCAACCAAGTTGGCCTAGGTTCATCGATTCAGGTACGCAAACTTGGGACTTTTCAGTGAAACGCTTTTCCGTTTCGCGGCAATCCTCGTGATATGCTCACATTTCGTCGGGCGATGGCCGAAAGGATTGCATGCCTGGCTTACATTCCTTAGGTCACCGATTCGAATCCGCGTAGGGGCGGGTGTGCTCGCAGTTTACTATGCCCACGCACGACCAGTGGTGGTCGCATATCAGCGAAGCGTCGGTACAGTGAGCCGGCTTACTGTTGATGACATGCTCACATTTTGACTGCACCCTATTAAAGTTGGGCTGTCATTGGGGTATACCCTATCGGGGATTAGCTTACTGCTTTCATGACTGTTGGGTGCAAATCGGTAACTGACGAGATTTGTTGCTGTTGGATGTTCGCTATCCTCCAAGATCCCGCGCTCACCGTGTCGGTTCGCGCGTGTACAGACGGTACATGGTGATATCGGCTTTGTTGTGCTTGCAGTTACTCAGGCTGGTGTCTGTATCATGACCCCTTGTCAACTGAATGCTCATCACAAACAGTCAGGTCAGTGGTTGTGGTAATATATTGTTTGTGGTTGTGGTGCCGCTCAGGTCCATGTAGGGCCACGATCAATTCTTACTGCTCCTTTGCATGCCCACCGGCGTCGTCTACCTTGGGTCGGTAATTTGATAGTCTTTCATACTGCTCTCCACTAAATCTCCCACATTTTTACCGATCGAAACTCCCCGAAACCGTTTTTCAGACCTGCTTTGGATAATTTGAAAAAAACATCTATACTTTGAGATCCTGTTGTACCAACTGGTCAGACCATGTAGTTGGACTGTATCTCGCACAGTCGAGAAATACAACTACTGCTACTTACGAGTAATATAAAATATCCAACGTGTCAACAGTGACGAAGCATTGGGTTAAGTTGGTGGATATCTTACTTTCGAATGTGATAGGCGTATGCAATTAGAGGGACGAGACGGATCTACGTGACGAAGCAAGCAGTTAGCTTATCTCAAACGGACGGAGCAAATGATTGGACGTCTCCACATTCACGATGATTGGTTAATTTTTGGCTGCGCTTGAGTGGGTTTGTTTAACCAAAGCAAAGTTAACGTCTTGTGAATCCAGGGACGTCGTTAACTATAGAAGCGCCGTAGTTATATACATTGGGGTTTTTACGGGTTGGTTATGCAACCATTTCCACTGAGCTCTCTGTTGAAAAAACTGGTTGCCTCTGGAAGTCAGAATTCAGCTCCCAGGAGCGGATACATAGGTGGTTACAGTCTCCATTTAACAGGGGGATTTAGAGAAGCCAATTGCGCTACTGCATTATGTGTGCTGCTTTTAACCGTCAACCGTTTCCTCTTGGTTCCTCCTTATTCTTCTTCTCCTTAACGCCAGTCTTTATTAGCGCTGATGCAGAGCGAGATAACCAGACACATCGCACCCAATTCATAGTTGCTGAACTCTGAACTGCACTTAAAAGTTGGACACCTCATATTCGGCCTGGCTTGTCTGTGCTACCAAAGCGTCTTTTTCCTACTGTTCCACACCACGAACCGCGCCACCATCACTCCTTTATCCATGCTTGCAGTTGCACATGTGGGTTATTCGTCACAGCGCGGTTTGGCTGGATCAGCGTCTCTGATAAACACGCCGGGGTTCTGTCATACAGAGGTGTTTGGTCTCGAGTAGATTCATCGCAGACAGTTGGCGCAGATCCGGAGAGAGAAGTCCTGGGTGTCTGTTCCGGCCCTTTGGGACCCGTCGCCAGAGTGCATCCACCGTGCCCCGCTGGGAGCATTCCACTGTCAAGTCACCTAAGTTAATGTCGAGAACCAAACTTGGCGCAAACAGATTGTTTACTGCGATAATGCAAGTCTATGTGGTACGGCTGAGATAGTATTTGACAGTTGTGCTCATTTGCACGCTCCATCCGTGGTGCAGTTTTGCCTCTCTGTTCTGCTACTGCATTCGTATCGGCAGTAGTTGGTTTTGCACTACTTACAATGCATACGTAGCAATTCATGATTTTACCCGAATCCATCAAGAATATCGGTTCGGATCCTTCAAGATTCGGCCAATATACGCTTTCTTGTGTTTTAGTTGTTTGCTTGAGTTTGGCCACGGCGAATTTCCTTTGTGTTACATGATCTGGGAGGAGCGAGACCAGTCATTCTCAGCGTATGACCCTAAACGTCAATAGAGATGGCCATACATGAATTCAACTGTATGAACCTTCCGCTGATTTGCCTACTCTTGCGCGTATATGTCCCCAATAACATGTTAACCGCCTTTCGCATTCGTTTTCATGTAACTGTTTTCTACGAGGTATGAGCGTCTTGTCCTAAGACCATAGTATATATGCTCCCAATGGCTGGATTATTGGGCTCCTTGCCTCTCCGCCCTTCTCTTTTCCAGTTTCACATACACACACTCACAGAGCGTCAATACGAAGTGTGTATTGCCGTCAATGATGATCATGCACACTACATTTGGTGTGTGTCCTCAATTCCAGGTTCAAAGTGAGCCTCTGGGGGTCTAATTTCTCTGTCGCTCGTGAACCTGATGTGTTTTCGATCCTTAGCTTCCTCTCCCTACCTTTAGGTATACATCCTCTTCTTCTCTATCCATTTTAGATATATCATCCCTACCTAATAGACACCAGTGTGATATACAACCTCAAGGGCGCGAGAACTTCGAAGGCACGTTTGCGATTTCTTTCGGAACACTTCCTCGGGTACGTCATCTTGGATCGTAACATTCCAAGTCTCTATCCTAAACCTTCTTATCACCTTATCAATGCCTCCTTGTCTTAAAACCGAATCAGGTGATCTTGTCAAATTACACGTTCCTCAGGATGTGTCTGTACTTTATCACCTTTTTAGGCAAATATGTAAATTCCTGCGTACCGATTGAGCTACGATGTTGGAAGATCGATCCTCAGGAAGCCAACTGCTTTGTGCCACTAGTAAAGTCTGTGGATTCTTTTTTGTGCAGATTGGTCTACTCTGTGGTTCTGATGTAATTCCGCGATACTCTCCTCTTATAATGCATTTTGCCGTAGGTTGTTTCTCGCCATTCTATCTGAAGTAATTGGGCTGCTTTTCCGTATTGAAACGTTCCGATGGGATTTTTTCTGTTTTGCATCGCATCTTCATCAACTATGGTCTCTTACTCATGTGACTGTTGGTACTGATTCTATCGTTACATTTAAATATTTCAGATAGCGTTATTTGAGTTCGATCAACAGATCCCTAATAAGAAAATCTAGAACGTCTGGTTTCTCTTTGTCATCTCTGCCTACGTATACCGTTTTTTCATTTCCACTTCGCAAATTCACCTGCGGAAGCCATTGTTTAATTTGACATTATTGTGGAAGGACATCGGAAATATTCATGAACTCTCTCTTGATCATTCATATATCACTATACTTTCACCAGACCGTCGGCGCTAGTGAGTAGTTTTGCGACAGTTGTTACGTGAACTGCGTTGCAATTTTGCCTCCCACCGGAAGACATTTTCCCAATACATATCGCAGTCTCGTGTATGTGACGGAGTCTGCGATGTTAGGATCGGTTTTATTCAATTCTCGAATGTTCATCAATATAAAGGCTGTAGCTATCCGTCTCTTCCCAACCTTCTGTGTCTAATTCTTTGGTTACCTCTGAGCCGACGTCTGTGCTCATCCGCATACGTGACCTGATCTGCACTCCAAATTTTACTGTTGCTGGCCGTGACGTTTTTACCGCTGCTACTACTAATGATAATTGTGACACAAATCTTACCCCTAGTATTACTGCTATCGATGTCACCGTCGTTGTCATGATCTGTTTTGCTGCTAGTAACCACACTGCTTACACTGCACCAGCACGGTTATGCTTATAAATTTAATTTAATTTTTACTACTAGCGAGTAGTTAACGAATTCAGCATTAATGGCTTCCCGGCCGAGCGACAGCTACATTGATGCGGTTTGTGGAACTTTGAGCAAAACAAGTGAATTGTAGATGATTTGTATTAAAGATGGAGTTTATTTGAGTAGAATCGATCTTACAGTTGTTGTAGATACTCATTATGCGAGGCTATTGCCTGTAACTGGCCGTCGCACCACCCTCATCGTTACTTCCAGATAAGACAGTACACTAAGTCCATGCGAAATTTACCGTACCAGTTGTCGTTCATTTCTAAGCAGTTTGATTAACGGACGTATATTCTCTTTCCAGTCGACTGATTCAGACCGGCAGTTCAGGACATTCATCTGCGGAGGACGCCATTGCAACCATGGATTTGACTCGACTTAAGCTTAGTCAAGGTTCGTTTTGGGTTTTTAGTACAGTGATTTTATGATGTATCGGTCACAATCGATATTACACGTCCGCAGCAACATGCATTTGGTACTACTTGTGTAATTACGCGTAAAATGTTACTTTATTAGTGTTTCAGATTGTTAATTTTTCCTCATTTTGGCTAAACCGGACCTTTATATACTGCATCAATTTGCATACCTATTCGATTCGTTGAGCCATACCTAGTGGCAACCTCGGGCACCTTGAGATCTGCATTTATCAGATTGATTCATCCCTAGACAACTTCATTTTTTGACACTCCTAATTGAGAGTTAATAATAATAAATATACTTGTCATCGAGTGAGAAACTATGCCTACATTTGACACAGATCATATTTTACAGAATATCATGCTCATGCATAAATGGTAAACAGTTGTGCGATTTTCATTGTTTTTTGTTGTTTTATGGGTATGTATTTATTCACAGGTGTGTTTCAAAACAATGTGGGAATAGTCACAGAAATAGGGGTGTACCACACAGTATAAAAATTTTTTGTTTCACTCATTAGATGTTGTCTGGCCCTTATTGGTACAAATCATCAAGTGATCTCTCCCAAGAGAACAGGGTCATAATCGTGTTCAATTGGTGAGCTTAACGCGAAGGGGCCGTTACGCTCTCACACCATCTGATTGTGACTGGGAGTTCGTTCCACAGGACAGCATATCTGAAATTGCGAAAGATTGCACCGCAGATTTGTCCTTCGCCTGGGTACACTCAGGGTAAACTCCTTTGTGTGTAGCTCCGTTGTCGAACTATGCTGTAGTTCTAAGGAAGGCGAAAAGCAGTAGGCCGCCTTTAGATGAATCATGTTGTACAGAAACACAAGGTTATGCCCCAATCTTCGTAACCAAAGCGGATCCAGCTGGAATTGTTGGCACCGTGCCTGGTAGTTCTTAGTGGATGTTTTCCTAGCAGACGTTTGGTAAATGACCTTGGTATACTTCCAGAAATACTCTGTCTGATTTTGTCATGCTACCACAAGTGATACTACAGTATTACAAAATGCGGTGAGTGAGTAGTGCAGAATTCCACTCTGGCTGGGGTTATGTGGATCTTATGCACTATATTAGCCAATAATTTTCTGGCCCTAGCCAGATAGTATTCCAGTTGTTCGGAAAAGTTGAAAGTGCCAGAATATCTGACTCCGAGGTCACAGAGTGTAATTGATCCCTCGCGTATCGAACAACTGCGATACATGATGCTAGATTTTTCGACGAGAATTTCATCAACCAAGTGTCAAGGGTGCGGAAGTTTTCCTGTATGAGCAGTAGTGTATCTTGGAATTCAGCTCATCGGAATCTATAGACTATCTTTATGTCATCTTCAAATAGGAAAGGTACACCATGTCTCATAATCGCACTGATGTCATTGACGTAGAGCAGGAGCAGTAACGGTCCAAGTTAACTCTACCATATTTATACCATATATGTATATCACTAGTGATTACATGTGATGGAGAGTGGTGGTCGGCTATGGTAACTACCTGAAAACGGCCGCTCGGCTATGACAATAACCAGCCTAGGATTGGGTTTTGGATTCCAAAGGAGGCAATCTTTTTCAGCAGCCGTTTGTGGGACACTCGATCGACTGCCATTTTCATGTCCAGGAACAGAAGTATGAAAGTGTATCCTGAGTCAATAGAATCCGAAACATGGTTGGAATAATTTCATTGGCAGGTTTCGCACGATTGTTTGTCCAACAAACCACGCTATGACCTGTCTATTAGCTCCAGAAAATTGTTGAATTTCATCACACCATTCTTAACCAGTTTCTCTAATAATCTGGCTAATGCAGAGGTGTGATAGATTGACCGGTAATTGTTAATTTATTCTTTGGAACCATCCTTGTGAGCGATATTTTCCACTGGTCTGGAAAGTAGCTTGATTCCAATGAGAGGGTAAGCATGTTCAGCAATAGTAGCGGCATATCAGGTTCTCCAAATTGTATAACGGCAGGCTGGATACCATCGGAATCCAGATGGGAAAACTGTTTGATATACTTCATTACATGTTGGATAGTACAGATTGAAAATTCAATTTCACTCAGGACGTTGGTTGTTCGCACCCCAATGTATGCATTTAGCATGCTGAATGACGTAGCGAAGAATGAGCTAAACGCTTCACAGATGTCAGCTGGATCACATGAGGACTGCCCGTATGCATTAACCAGTCCAATGTCCAGGGTGACATCCAGTTATGCGGAAAGTTTTAATCTTGTGAACTCTTCTTTGTCTCCATTTGCTTACAGGTGGACTTTTGGGCAGACAGCTGGTTTATTACCCTAACTGTCCAACTGTCTAGCTTTCGGCACACTCACAATATCCCACTCTGCCTACTACAAAGTTCAGCCTTATTTTGCATCGGCCACCACGTCGTGGAATGCAGCCGGGTAGACAATACAAAATCGATCTCTACTTTTACTTCCTTTTTCTCCATTTTGTTTATCATACGCCTCTCCGCATCCACATGATTAGTCTTCTCATTTCAGTCCCCATTGTAAGTGACGTAGCTGCAGTTCCACTGAAGCTCTACGGTCTACAACTGTAGCCACATCGTACACACTGGATTCCAGTCGTCAACACCATTTCCCAAACAATCTTGCCGATAATCTTTTGTCATCACGGGACGCCTAGCCATTTGTGGAGCCGTGCGTTGTTGAGGAGCTGTAGGTGTGTGGATCACTAACAGGTTCGCTTCCTTGCAGGGGACCAACAAATGGACACCACTGACGAGCCCCGACAGGGCGAAACGGTCGTCTGGTGCCTTTTCGGGTTAGTGATTAGATTATCGCTGCCTGAACAAACCAGTAAAATTTCACTTAACAAATCCTCCTATTCATCACTAACTAAATAGACCATCCGCAACAGTCTTTTGGGTGGATTTTCACTCCATTTCGACCATACATCCTCTACATCTGCCAGCTAAATGCCTAGACAGTAAAGACTGGTCAAATAGCTCACTTTGTGTCAGAGGCAGCTGCTATGCAAGCGCTACTGGACAAGCGGACGCGTAGCGCTGCGTACTTTACACCTTTAAAGTGCGATATGATGTTGCAAAACTGTACCGACTCATTAACAGTTTTCACTCTCATTGAACAACTAATCTAAGTTGTCGGTCGAATTGCTTGTCTGACGGTTTCATCACTGATAAGTTTACTGCTCGCATTATCAAGGCTCTTGCAAATTTTCCAAGTCTCAGTCACTTATGAAAACGGCGGGCGTAAGCGTATTGGTTATGAGGAGGGTTAACAACGTCGCGATGTGGTCAGACGTCTAGCTGCTGTGTTCAGACGGTTTTGGCAGATTGTTTTTAACCACTGCTGCTCCATCAAGAATCAAGCCCTTGATTTCAGTGGCTTATACCACTATGACGGGTGATAGCAGTAAATTGGCATGATTTTCTACGATCTACAGCGACTCATCTGCCATCGCTATGAAAATTTGGAGATTAAAAGAGATCAGGTCTGGACTCTTGGGCCACAGCTTCGTGTATGGCAACTATGTACGACCGCATTTGAAAACCGTCTAAATACTGGGTGGTCTTTGATGTAGCTGCGCCGAACTATCAATAAATTACATCAGAAACCTACACTAATTTTACCCTATATTCGTCCGTTGTATTCATATGCTTTTTCTCACTCATTGAAATGCATGGAACTACTTTACCTTTTCAGGCTTATCTTTCGGCGATGTGACAACCTCCTGGCGGTTCCCGGAAAATTACAACGCTGCATTGTTTGCGAGACAAGCGAAAGTGAGTGACAAACTGCTTAACCTGCGTGCACGTACGCTATCTGCGGCTGTTTGCTGATCATATTTGTGGCCCCTTTCTTTTGGTAACGTCATACCCAACAATTAGAATCCGATGCGAAGTAAGTAAACCACGGAAAAGACAACTCGTAGGCCCATCCCGTTTGCCTTACCAGAGTACTGGAGTGCGATAAAGTTAGTGTTGGTCGTGTTTTCCGCTATTTGATATTGACGAGATGGAGACTTAAATGGAGTGTCAGCCAATGGAGACCCGGTTTGAACAAAGCTGACCAACAAAGCCGTAAAATTTCTTTTTGAATGAAATGATGCGAATGGACTGCACCAGGCTCCGACGGTTGGCCCATGTGTTGCGCATGTCAGCCAACCGACTCCAGCGATGTGCGTTGTTTGCTCACCGGGGGTGTGAATGAAGGAAGAGGAGAGGTGACCAAGCGATGTCTTGGTCAAGAAGAATGAAGGCTCTTACTTCGAAGTTGGCCTCGGTTGGAGCGTCTCGGCTCCATGCTTAAGGTCCGAAGACGATGGACACATTTGGCTGGATGCATTTGTTGACATGGCTAGGAGCCGACTTCAGCGGCGTTTGTGTAGTGGGTTTCTTTGTCCTTCCCCTCTCCCAACTACGATCTCATTTATTAGGCATAATGTAACTTTTTTTGCAACAGCCGGCTGTTAGCTCTCCGGAACGATGTCCATCCGTTACTGGTGATTCAGCCAGCGTGACTCTTGTATGTCATTTTTCTTTTCCTTGTATTACAGCACAATAGCTAGGGTGTTTTCCACCTCTGGCTAACGTGTATAATGAATGGTGCTATTTCTAAGCATGGCAATCACTTTTCAACTTTGTCCTGTTGAACAGGATGTCTGGTTGCTGATGTATCCGATTCTGAAACCTAGACCTCGGATCACTTCGTGTTCTTTTCTTTTATAACATCGACTGGTTGCAACGGAGCTCATCGCCTTGCTTAGGAGTAAACACAAGTCCGTTCCACAACTGGATTAGCGTCTGATATGGTGAAATGTTCGCTATCATCTTGGAAGTAAATTGCAGACTTCGGCTATCGCCATGAAAACGCACTGCGATAGCCCCCAGAACTAAATCTTCTATAACAATTGATGTTGGCGAGCCATTGTTGTAATGAAAGTGGCAACCAACACCTACGAAGCCACTACTTTGACTACCGAATATGACTCCTTCCAAACAGGGACAAAGAACGAAATCACTCGTTTGATGTCACGTTTCGTGATGAAAACATCGGATCTGTCTTTTCCACGTGTTTAATCTGGTGACTTCATACGGTGAATCTGGAATACCACATCTCGTAGACGCGTACGTAGTTTTATTCCGATTGCTATCCTTCGATCGCATATTCCAAACTGGACGTCTAAGATACGGCTAAGAGTGCTGTAGTGCTCACTAGCGTTTGATAAGTGAGTCGCCGGATTGTGCGTGTCACTGGTCATATGTAACCACAGATTCACATTCGGTGTGGCATATGCGAACTGCGAATGAATTGGCACTTAGAAATGGGGCCTAATACATGCTTAACTGCGCTCTCCAACGCTTTTCACTGCTATTCTGTTAGCTAAAACATTTTGGACAAGTTCTGATGAAGCACCTCCCTCCACTGTCTAATTAGGTGGTATTTTCGCACCTTTCTGTTTCGTCTGTAAGGCGACGGTGAGCGTCCAAGTATTTTTGTGCGACTAGACGTCGACTTTGCATGTTTGCACAAGACGTTTGGTGCTCGCCTCTTCACGACGACGTACTCGTTCAGCAAGGTCCCATAAAGCAGAACGTGGCAGACAAGCAGTCCGCGTGTGTCATCGCATGCGAACAGAGCCCACGGAATACGCTGTTCGAACTCATCTGTTGAGCGAACGCTAAACCGGACAGCCGAAATATGTGATTAAATTCCCGAAGGCGACAGATCGGCGTATTGCTTTGACTGTACTGATATTAACAAGGTTGTTTTTCAAACTCTAGTTGGTAGACCAGACACGACAATTGGAATGTCTACAAGTTTTTTTCACTTGGTCTGGTACCTTTTCCATTTTTCATTCAAGCATTTTACTCGCCACTCACATCGTGTGTAAATTTATTCTCCTTTCAAACTCACAGCAATGAAACCGCGCCCAAGGGTTCACTTGCATAAATGGAACGCGTAACCAGCACTGTCTGCATCACCGTTCATGCAGAATAACCTACCCACTTCTGCTCGAAGAGTGCAGACAGCGACCAAGCTAATATTTGTGTGTGTGTGGGGGGCTAACCTGAAATGCCACACATGACGCAATGTTTGACTGTTTTGTTTGGGGTACCACGTAGACACTCCCATCGTTTATATATTCCAAATATGATAATTGCGTTCTGATGTCTGATTTGACTCACACCATCGATATCGCGCCTACCAACTTAGTGACACACAGAGCTCGTCCACGTTCTTCAACAGGGATCCGATCACAGTAGCTATCCGTATTCAGGTGCGCATTTTCCCGTAAGCTCAACGGACACACGGCGCCATCATTTGGATTTGAGTGCATTCACAAATCAACACAAACCCCGACACACTTGCATAATTGTCCCACTTTTCTCTGGTTCCCATTCTATATGCTTTCGATCCCATAGCGCGTCAATACAGTTGTGCAGTCAGAGGACAAGAAAAGCGACTTCGCATCTTCAACCGGCAACACCACCGAACCGTGCGCATACAACAGGCTACAGCCAGACCGGGTAGATCCTGCCTTCCGCCCCACTGTCGCTGAGCTGCGCTCCAACTACTTCCTCTCTGGGCCTCCTGTGCATTTAATCAATAGATTGCTTCATGACTGCGATATCCCGGTCAGCTGTTGGCCCATTCTCGAAACGGCGGAATTCAACAGCCCGAATGACAATCCACAGGGTCAGGATAAACTGACCACCGACCAGCTGTGTGGTCGAAATCAAGTGTCCAAGCGGATGTCCCAGTGGCTACTCCAATTAGCTTCGCACAATCGTCTTGTCATTGCAGAGGCTAACTGCCCACTTGAGTGGGGTGAATCGGTAAATGGTTCTCCCTCTGTCTCATCTTTTAATCCTGCACATTTTCTTCCCACTCCACCTATTCATCATTTGTTTTCTGAAATGTGTTGTGTTCAGGAAGTGACTTGTAATGACGTCACGCAATCGACCAATGAAAACAAAGCTTCGTGGCTGTTTTGAAAAGGAACAGGCTTCTTCAGTCTTCTTTCTTCACCTCAGGGTGTTTGCGCTAATCTGGTTTGTCAAATCACGCCACGTCTCCGGGGCCGCTACGTGCCTCCACCTAACGAGCGCCGCGTGCACCAGTGAGCGGGCCTGAACCTCATCGCACGAGTAATTTCTCTTACTTCTGCTAACAAAGCAACCTCGGTTGAATCTGTTAAGTCGGCCATAGGCTGCTTGTTACAACGCCCACGGTAATCCTGGTCCATTTTGGACGCTGTCACTGTACCACACTCACTGAGGCAGAGGGAATTTTATCTTCGCTGCGGAGCACTTGATTTGTAAAATATTGTTTCTCATATCTAGGCTGGATCTTTTCTTCGTGAGTTTAAGATGATATTTGAGCGGGTAATCCGACGCTTTTCTTCATTCGTTCTAGCAGTCATCCTTTGTACTTTGTCTGTGCAGTGAATCTCCTTGTGTTCTAAGCGTAGCCGAACCACAGCTTTGTATGTTGGAAGACCTGATGTTTCGTGTTGCACTACTTTCGATTATGGCTGTACACCTCTTGTCGTACCCAGTTGGCAACATGTCGACTCTTTGCCGATGATTAGAAGCTATTCTTTACAACGACACTTAGGTCTGGTGCCTCATCAATGCGCCGCAATGTCAGTGATCCATCAAATGTTTACACCTTACCTCTGTCACTACTGGAACTCGGTAACTGACATCGAATGGCGTTGAGGAGCAATTTGCGATATCATGATGCGATACATTTAGACTATGTAACTCGGATGACCCTGCTAACAAACACTGAGTTGTCTGCAAACGTATAGCTAGGGTTCTCAATATGAACCAGTTCATTCATATATAGAAAACAGCAGCGAGCCCAGTATGCAACGCTGTGGAACTTCACTGTGAGCATTGCCCACGATTGAGTTGACGAAGGTAACGGAAAGCTTTCCCCACCGATAAATTCTAACGATTAAGTCTGTATTTAAGGATACAACCGAACCAGGTCAACATCAGTAGTAGGAACCACTGATTTGCATAGCCAGGTTCGTAGCCGAAAGAATCATGCGCTGACCTTGCAACACGGTCGCAGGTTCGAACCTGCTTTGGGAACCGGCCGACTTTCACAGTATCTTTAGCCCACGCGCGACTGTTAGTGGTTACGTGGCAGCGAAGCGTCGATACTGCGTACCGGCGTACTGCTGATGTTTTTTTGCCGAAACTTTAGTGAATCGAGGTATAGCGAATCTCTACTTAAGTCTCATTCTAGAGTCAGCGGATTACCTAATTTAAAAATACGATAACCTAATAAGGTAAAACTTCTTGCTGATGGCAATATGTGTTCCGTTCTGGTCAAGTTGTTGACAGGTGTCAGCGACATCTGTTCCTAGTAAGAGTTTCCAAGCACTTAAACAGTACACGTATTAGGATGATGCCCTCTGTACAGTCTTTGGTTATCTGCCTTTCCGAAATGGTTTACTGATCAGATCCTGGACGGGACATTGGAGTATCTCAGCAAGTGGTTTTATTTATTTTATTGAATCTGGCATATCCATAGAAGGTCTCTGACGCAATTCAGACGGTACCTTGGGTAGTTCACCAAATTTTGCAATGTGATTTTACAGAGATACGAGTGTTAAAATACACGTGACAAATCCATCTTGTTTGCATCTTCCACATCCCCCTTTGTAAGACTGTCAATTAGCTCAAAAAAACCTTCGGTTGGACATAACCCTAGTGACACTTGGCATTTTCCCTTCCATCCCAGGCAGACTTAGACACATTGGAATATTTCCCTTTTCCCTGTGCATTCTGCCATTTTTCACAGCAGCGGTAAATGAACCCGAATTCGGAATTAAAGCCTCCACATTTCAGTTCCGATGCACTGGAACACGAGTGAAGAACGCTAGTCCCTTTGAGACACACATCATCAGCTCAGTTCAATTAAACGACTACGATCCAGACTTCGGAGAATCCAGTTGCCACGACTCGTGTTTTTGTGATGACAACAAACAACAATGAGATTAGTGAAGTGGAGCATAGGCAGAGTACAAAGAAACGGTTGAGAAAGTGAGTAAAATTAATTGGGATAGACTAATAATGACTAGGTGCAAGAAACCGGATACAGGAGCGTCACTGACTGTGTGACAGCACCATGTCCGACAGAGTCTTCAATCACTGATGTGGACCATACCGAGATACTAATCGATAAAGCCAGCAGCCTGACCAAGCCTCTGGGTTCATTTCTTCATGCCACCTCATGAACTGGCCACAGTGAGGTTTCGCCCAGCTTCGTGCAACAGCTGTATGTAATGCACGCTGAGGAAAGCGGTTAACGGTCATATGAAGGACACGACCTAGCCAACGTAAGCGGTTCAAATTTACCATACACTCCGGTGAGGTACCAAAGGGTTTCTTGCCAAAAACCGACTGCCGTACATCAGCATTGCTCCCTCGGTGTTTTCACCAGATGTGAGCAACACTCCACAAGCACCGGTGATCTAAGACGCGGTCAATCTCTTGTCCTCCTTATTGGTCACGAATCGTCTTCTGTTATTTCAGACTGTAAAAATTTAATCACGCCGCAAGAGGCACGGCTTTTTATCCCGAGAATATACATCACTGTTGCTATTTTTAACAAATTGTATAAAACATCACGTGTTGTTGCAATAGTTTCGTATGCAGTACTATCCGACAGCTTGGTTATCAGCAGTGAGCTATGGCTTAGTACCGAGGCTCCACTGCCACCCCCAACGTTTACATGTGACTTGACTAGAGCCGCGCAGGAACGAACCTGTCAGCCGTAGAAATAAGGCCGATGACACGAATGACTACATCTCACCGCGAAACTGGATGTCAACGAGCGCACGCATGCTACCCACCCGGTGTTGCTCCACAACACACTGAAACACGCCTTCCACCCACTTTACGCGCATCGTTTAGAAATCGAATGCTTCCATCTTGTATCTTTATTTTCGAACCGAGTACAGAATTATCGAAATGGACTTTCATAGTGGTTTACAGTTTATAACGTTTGAAAGGTTTTGATTGCAGCTCCTGCGCGTGAGGAGGCTCTTGTTTCTTCACACAGGACTATACTACGCTGTCGCAGTTGCGTGCTTCGAACCTGCAAAATGCAAACTTTTCTTCCTTAATTGGAAAGAACCAATCCTTGCGCTGAACCTTGGTATGGAGCAACTTGAAGTCGTTTGGGCATTAAACTACCTCAGCAGCTAAACCAGCGCCTGTGGGACTAGATGAGACCATAGACCATTTAGCAAAAGCTCGAAGCGCTTTCGTTAATCCTCACCACTTTTCTGTGACATCACTGTCGCTCTGAATGATGGAACCTACGACGCAGCCGTTCAATCCTACCGTACGGTTGCTAAACTGCCCATCAAACCGACAGGGCTAGTTGCGTTCAATCATCGATGCATTCGTAGCATAGCTCATATCTGGTGTAAACACCACTTAAGCAATAAGCATGTTCGAGGTCTACTTCGTGGTGCAGCAAAATTAATTGATCGCTCGGCACCGTTGCTTTGTGCACCAGACTCCGATAGCTAGACTATGTGTCACATGCCATCTCATCGACTCCCGCGACCTACGTTGTTTGCAAAACCGTGATATAAATGGAAGAAGGGGAAAGCGGCAACAGTAATGAAGGCTCCCACTTCGAACTTAACCTCGGTTGGTGCATTCCAGGTTAGGGCGCAAAAGGCGCGCATTTGACTGGGGGTACTTATTAACATGACGAAGAGCCGACCTCGGTGATGTTTGTGTTCTAGCCGCATAACAGAAACAACATTGCATGGTACTAAGAGTTCTTTTGACTTGTTTTGCGACACAGTGGTCTCTTCTTTTCATTAATAGGATATCTTCTTATGAAGTGGCCTGAATATAGAGCTTGGGCCGTCACCGTAATCCATATTCATACGTGATATCGTCGTAGGTTATTTTTTCACTATTGTATCTACCATTACTGTTTTCAGATCCACTTATATTTCCTGAAAACATTTCGTATATACAGTTATTTCCTGGGTATTTTAGGTTACTGGTAGCCACATTTCATGATGCCTAGTACAATAACCAGGTCATCCCTCTCAGCGTCCTGATTGGCCCACCAGAAATGTTCAGGTTGATTTCTGGTTAAGCTTCCGGCAATGGACAAACAGAAGCCAACGAGTCGGTGGCTCTGTTCACCCCCACCTACTGCTGCTTCCCGTCATTCCCGTAAACCGAGCTTTTATCTCATCACCATCTCTACACTGATTCATTTTTTCTTTGGTTTTCAGAAATGCAACAACAAAATATGCAAACTGTGTCAACGATTGCGCCGTGGCCTGCCCGCATATAGCTTGGTGGTGGTCGTGTGCACTGGGGATTCTCCGTCCTCTTCCATTGGTTCAGTACGTGCGGCTTCGCATTCAGGCGCCATCACATCATCACCCCCTCCGTCCCCAGAGAACATGAAACGATGCGTGTACATTACTCTGACAGAACCTGAGACACAAGCCGCAGTGTGAAGAATGACCAATTTAGGTTTTTGTACAGATACACATCCAACCCTCTCGTTCTTCCGATGCACTGGCATTTGGTTTTGGTTTTTTTACTCAGTGCAAGACGACGTATGCATAATAAACACAATCGGACGAGGTTAGAGGTCACGGAACACACCTTGATTCCGGCGACAGGAATAATCCTGGCTATTGGGGCCCAAGTCCTCCAAAACTTACGTACAATTTACCGGGGTCAAAAATGTCAGATATTCTGTTAAGAGAACGGGCACTGTTCCAAACGTGATGGGGCTTACAGGACGGATAGGTCTCAGGCATACTCCCGAAAGTGCTCCGTACCCTAATCGTGAACCTGGCGCTCTCAATAAAAAACAAATTTCAGCAGAAACTCTTCTTAAACCTCTTCCTTATTCTAATGTCCCTACTAGGTTAAGGATTTTTTCTGACACCAATGTGTATCGAATCAGCAAGACGCGACTCTGTTACATTTTTCCTAATGATTGGTTATACTTCTTTAGTGCCCTAAAGGACAGGACTATGATCACCGAATGACATCAAGCGACTCTCCAGATGCATTTGAAACACCTGACGAATGATTTAATAAATATGCATTCATATACTTGCTTTAACAAGCGACTGCACAGGTCAGTAACCACGTAACGTACATCCTTGTGTATGTAGGCCTTCTGTATAAAGAGTTGGGTTGCGCTTCTCTATAGTCAATAATGCACGTAGTTCAGGGGTCAATAAGTCGTAATTCGGCAGCTACGGACGTTACAATTCTCAGTTTCCACTCCTGTTTATGCGGTTTGAATTCAATGCTATCTTCCTGATCGGCAGCATCAAATCGGTTCGCCCCCTGACAATCGCTCCACTGGATGTAAGTGAGTTTTTATAGAGATGGAAGAGTATACGGGACACGACCGTGTACTTAAATGGCTCGGGTTTTCTTGGATGTAAGCATGGATTTCGCGACAGATGACACCCGTTTGTCAGTGGACGCTTTGGCCTATGCTAGCCTGCAGCGGCAGTTTTCACCTGAGCATCACACCTCAGTCGTTCCAATGTGATTGTGAGATTAGCATAACACTTTCTGTGAAGATTCACTGCAGCTAGACCTAGTCAGAGATTCAGGAAAGTGTTAGACGGCCTTTTCATCCCATTAGAACTCGACAGTAACACGCACCCATGGAATCCTGCAGGATTCGAACCCGAGCCATGGGTGATAGCGGCGGACCGCCATGATCAATATCTAACTACGCGATATAGCGCGGCTCATCCTCCACTGCCATGCAGGTTATGAACGTTTAGAGGTCAAGGCTGGCTGCTTTTGTGACCTGCTGACAATTGAGGTGGCATGTAAACTGCTAGGACGACTACCGATTTTTAGTGAGTAATAGAGAGGGTAGCCTTGTTTTCATAACCTGAAGGATAGTGGAGAAGTGAGCGGCCGTCGTTATTCATGGCTGTGGCATAAGTCGCTGGCTTAGCATAACACCCTCCGCAGTACACAATGCCGGTGAAACGATCAGTACGAACATGATGGATTTGAATCTCATCACTATTTCCCTAATATTTTCCAATTGTCCCCCACTCAAGATAACTAATCCTGTTTGACTGAACTACGCATATGGAATCTGATTAGCTTCGGTAAACCGTCTATAAGAAACTAACCAAGTAGCCAACCGAAACCCACTAATCTGGTCGGTGTCTCACTAGGAAGATGAATTTTTCCGACGCGTCATTCGTGATGTGGGCGCTAGCGTCTGATAGCTCCGCTTACTACCAGTAGCTACGTAGTGCTGCGTTAATTGTAAACGCTGTATGCTAGCCAAAGTATGATTACGCATGTAGTGAATCAGTTAATCGAAGCTCGGGATAGATAGCATTTGTAGCTAGTTGGTGTTACTGTGCAACACAATTTGCTGCATAACTGCCAGATTTGATCACCCTGCTTCATCCATCAGTTAAAAAATCAAGATTGGATTAGGACCAGCTTGTCCGAAAAAAATGCGAGTCAGATTACGCCACTGCAATTCAGCGGAGGAACAAAACGCGATTTGCCCCACTTTTGTTAATTGTTGTCATGTTGACGATCCTTAGCCGAGAAAGCTACGCTTGCCTTGACAGAGTGCCTTGCTGAAATTGAACGAAATTATGCAGCAACGAGATTGTGAGGAGCATAGCACGTTTACTCACAGATGTAGCTTAGCGTGCAGAGAACTCCAACTCTGGGAAATTCACCCCTATGTTAAAAATCAGAGTGATGTTGACATCCTCTATTCATGCACTGTTGCACGAAATTATCGCCGTGAATTTTAGATCGTTGCCACCGTTTTTATTCCACTAGAATCCACGGAATCATGCCACATGACACTCTTAGACTCCGTCTTGTCACTCTGGTGCTACTACAACCAACTCTGTTTACCTAGAAGAGAGACCGGTTTGTCCTGCTAACTTCGGATACCTCAGTTGTCGGTTGCCGCATTCCAGCAACGCCGCTCACCACATGCAGATGGTAAGGTAAGCGCCCTGGAGGCATCACTCAATTGACACGCAAACTGTATGTTTGTGGGAATTATTAGATAAATAGATTTGTATATTTACCGACAGGCGGTATACGCATATAAATAGTGTTATAATAAGTAAATAGAACCTCAGATCATGAATTTTCTCACATACCAACGACCCGACCCAATCATTGGAATGTGAACAAGAGGTGCGTTAGCTATCTCTAGATCTCGTCTAATGTTTGCAGTACTAATGTGGCTCAAACCTCCGAGCATTGCCACTACCGATCAGATATTGAAACGCTGTGTGTCCGTAGCGGAAATAGCTACCAAGCGATGCTTCGATCGTGCAGTAGAAAATGTCCTGTTGAAAACTCTGGCTTCCAGAGACTTGGCGTATGGCCCCGTCCATGTTTTGGACGACCAACAAAACGTATGAGGAAGTTAGTTTCCTCCTCTGTGACGACCACAAGAGCGCAAAGATAATTCCGAAATCTTCGATTGGATTGTGATTCACATGTAGCGAAGTTCAATCCCGAGACTAGAAAGCACATTTTCCTGCATTCTGTCTGGAGGGCGCACAGGTCGAACATCAGAATAGGTTTTTCTGAGTGTGTCGCCGGAAGAAATGTCTCTCCTTTTGTATATTTTTAGTCCGAACATTGTCTACCTGAGTCAACTTGCACTTCGTCTGTTTCGAGACTATTATTATGTCGTTAACAGGACGCCAGTACTTCGTACCGACGATTCTGGCCTTGCAACCATCAGCGGATGCTACGCGTACACAGCTTCGAGCTTGTGGGCTATAGAACCAAGCACTTGACCCACTCAGTCACCGGACGGCTGAGCGCGCAGTTAAGTGGACACATCTTGCAGCACCAACAAACTGTAATAGTCGCGTCTTGCGTTGACCACGCTGTCGTTATTTGCTTGTTGTACACGGAGAATCCTCGCAATGTCCAGGCTCTCACATGCAGACCGTTAATTCCCTCGTTTCTCGCCTATTTTTCTGTGCGTCTTCTCTTGTGACGGGAATTCTAAGGATGAATTGTGCTGTTTCTAACCGCCTGGAGATGTGGCGCAAAACTGAATTCACTGATAGAGCTGCGTGCCGAGTTTCCTGGTCTCATGTCCTCAGTGTTATATTAACCAGTAAGTCAGGATGGACCAAGCGTCTTTGACCTTTCTGCACCGATGTGAAGTGGCTGCAATCACAAAGTCATCGTCTCAGGCCCAAGCTCAGTCCCTTTCTATCAAAAAGTTCAAACAAGATGGAAACTGATCGTCGAATGTAGCGTTTAGGGCTGTTAGCCTCAGCAAATTTTCTACATAACCAGGTTTTCATGTTCAGTTCAATCTTAATGCAGTTCAGTTGGGTGCCAGGGAATCTGCCACTGAACGCTAACTCGGTTATCTCAGAGTAATTCATTCAGTCCCCAAAGTAGATGTGAACACCTTAGCACCAGCTTATGCTCTTCGGGACTTGCACTGACCACACTACTGCATTGTACACCGACCCCTTTAACACTGTTACGTCGTCTTCAATGGTGGCTGCGGCTCCGAACCCACACAGAGCTGTGCGCAGTGTCTTTTTCGGTGATTTAAGTGTCAACTGTGTTACACACACTTTGGTAAGTGAACTGATTGACCGTTTAGATGCTACATTACTCGACTGGTCTTGTTCTTGGGTCGAAGTTCATTGCATACACCGATTGTTTGCAGGCGACTTTTCTTAGTTAGGTACGACCTCTGGAACTGTATCATTGGTGTTTTCTTGGTTTGTTTCTCAAAGAGACTCTCCGAGGAATGTAGCTCGAAAAGAGCCATTTACACACGTTTGTTTCAAGATACTTGTGTTAGGTAGGCTCATCGGAAGCCTACTTAGGTGGCAGGTCCGCATAGAGACAATCGCGGCCCATTACTCAACTTGAGCAATCACTTCGGGTGTATGCAAAGTGCAGCTGCTCTAGCAAAATTTGTGTCGTGTGTGCTCTGCATGCGATCGCTTCTTCATCAAGGTGATCATGGCGCACCAGTTCAATAGGACTTTGTAAGACACCAGAGAGTGGGATAGCACAGATGGGCAGTCAACCAGCAAGCGATCAAAGTCCGTGGAATACGTTGCCCCTGCTCGATACCGGTGGGACGAACTTAAACGTCAGGTGACTCGATTGTACCATGAGTAGGAGACATCGACGATTTTATACATCTGGCGTACATCGTGATTTGCGTTGGCCTCATTCGGCGGTCATCACATATTTGCTCTTCGGTCCGTCGACTTCAGTAGTGCACTTAAAATCGACTAAGTACTTTGGGTTACTCGGAATCTTGTTCATTCCTATGCTGTTATTTTCGCATTCAGAACTACATCACTCACACCAGACTATATGACAATAATCACACCGCCTATCTCCATACGCGATTATGTGGATGGAACGTGGGGGTAGCGCGATTCGTTTCAATGTTTATGCAAGATAACCGATGCGTGCCTATTCGAGG